AACCTTTCGTCTCTATATTAATCTGTTTACTTGTTGTGTCCCCATCCCTAGGAGAATGTATATTCATTGAGGGAAGGGGTTGGTTTGTGCTTTTGTCTGTGTAGCTGAAACACTTAACATTGTTCCTTGCCCATCATAGGAACTTAATAAATGCCTGTTGGGCTAGACTGAAAAATGATTTAATGCATCAGTTCCTGGGGCAGCTAGGTGGCACCTGAAGTCAGGAGGACCTGAATTCAAATCCAGACTCAGACCAAACACTTGACACTTACAAGCTGTGTGACCCTGGGCAAGTCACTTAACCCCAATTGCCTAAAAAAAAAAAATTCAGTTGCTTTTACCAACTACATGGAATATCTGACAACCAATATTCAAGGTTTTAAGAGGGGCCACATTTTCAGGTACTTGACAAAAGGCTGATGAGATTTTGTCTTTCTCCTTATATTGCTTAGTGAATACTTTGCATCTCCCCAAAGTGTCTCTAGCACCTCACAAAATATTCATAGAATGCTTTCAGTATCCTTGGTCCCCAAGTCATGAACCACTTCTTTAAGAGTCCTCCATGTGACTGTAGGTATGTTTCTAAGCCCAAGCATTAATAAGGCATATATCAGTACTTGACCATTCAGCCATGCAAAATCAGTTCAAAGCAGTTATTCTAACTTGTAAAGCAAACACACTAAAAAAAATTATAGTCTGAAAAGAAAACAAGATAAAAACCACTTTGTGGTTTCTCTCATGTTTCTTTGTAAAACCAGAATATTGCAAATGAAAATCCTGGATGGAGAATCTCTGGTGGGTCTGTGCAAATTCATAGAACGCCCAAGTATGTCCCAGATGAAGTGCCCACCGTGTACCATTTCTCTGAGCTATGCCCCTCAACTCATACATGTCTGTTGGTTTCCTTGAGGGGAGTGGCAGAAGGGTTGACTACCATAAGGTTCTCTGTGTGTCTGTGATTCTAAAACTATAGCTTGCAAACCTCAACACATGTGCTTACTTTTAACAGCCAGTTAACACATTTAGCCCAGAATAAAGGCATTTACTGAGATGTCAGGAGAACATTTATAACAAAGTATCCCTCTCCCCCCCCAAAAAAATAAATAAACCTACAACTACACACAATGTCAGTGGGAAGAGTTGACACATGTAAAGTACACTAGTAGAGGCCCAAGCAACTCACAATGTGCTGTGTGCTGCAGGCCCCTAATGTCCCTTCTTCTCTTATGGTGTACTCATGCTGCTCCCAGGTTAGTCATCTGAGCTTCGTGACCTAGTTCTTTCCCAACCTCTCTCAGCTCCCAGAGCTGCTCCTGGCTTGTGCCCTGTGTTCTGTCTTCCTTTTTAAAGACCACCTGGGGCATGGCTGAGCCTTTAGAGGGTCAGTGACCAGCTGCCCTTTAATTCCATCAAATTTGATCAAAGAACTTTTTCGTACCCGCCAGAGATAGAGAAATGTTGACTTCATTGAAGGTCTAAACATGTCTTTATTGCTTTCCCTTTATATACGGTAATTTTATTAATGTGGGGAGAGAAAGGGTTTTCTGATCAGTTCCCTACACACACACACACACACACACACACACACACACACACACACACACACACCCCATCCTTATCAAAATAGAGCTCTTTAACACCATCTTTTCTAGGTGATTGTTAAATACTTAGCACAAAACCAGCACAATGTTTATTTCTTTGGCTCTTCTGATATCTAAGAGCCAAAGTGACTTTTACCAAATCTTTGGGTTTGGTGATGCTGTAGTGTGTTTCACAAATACAAACCCTAATCGTGGTTGAAATTGCCATGCCCTGGCAGGGGTATTGGCTGCTGAAAATATATTAGAAGGAAAGCTGTCAAGTTTCTAGACCAAAATATAAGATGAAAAAAATGTGTCAGGTGCATATCGAGTTTCCTCAAGGACTTTGAATTTGAGTGTAGGTTTTAATGTGTTTTGAAGTTTTCTACTGCCATCTGCTGGTAACAGTGACTTATGGTGTTAAAGCTATAGAACTTAATGAAAGGATAGAATTCCTGAATCTCTTTTGCTGTTTCAGTACTTAGAAGGAGCAATTTCATTAGTTCACTTAAAAACTTTTTAAAATTCCTCCTTTGCTGAGGGAGTAAGACTGAATCTTTAATGTATTCTGTGTGATGTTAAGTATATGGTGAGCATTCCACAAATATTGTAATCAAACCCAGTAAAGTTGTGTTTTCCTCACTGTTGCCCATTCATAGAAGACAGGGGATGAAGGAGAGAAAAACTGATCTGGGAAACTGAAAAGTTGGATAAGAATGTGATATCTGAAAATGAGATTTGGATTTTAGGAGCATAGCTTAAAATGTGGGGATGACAGATTCCTGGCCAGAGATGAAGTACGCCTTAGAAAGGCTAGTAAAAATATGTTTGGCAGGTCCTGAAATATCTAATCAAAAGCACTTTAAAAAGGATGTGGGGGGAAAATTACTATATACATATACCCCCCAAACTTCATACCGTAAATAGTATATTTGTATATGTGTGTGATGTATGTGTCTACAGAGAGAGAGAGGGAATAGAAGTTGAGATGCCCAGAAGTTCACAAACCAAAAATCCAAGAAAAGAATCAATAGTAAAACCCCTGGCCTCAAATGTCAAAACACAAATACCCAAAGTTTAGGCAACAGACAAAAGATAGGAGAGCTTCTGATGCAGTAGGACAAATTTGACTCCATAGGTATTACCAACACTTGGTGGGATGAAATCCATGACAGGACCATAGCTCTGGATGGGTAAACCTTATTTAAAACACACACACACACACACACACACACACACACACACACGCAGAGGTGGATTTACCACTGTATTAAGGAAATCATGTCAGGAAACCCAGGAACCACAGATAGAAAGTATGATGGAGAATATTTGGGTAAAGTTCAGTGGAGGGAGAAATAGAAGTTATCTTGTTGGCCTACAATAAAGACTACCTGCACAGAAAGAGAAAAACAATCACTTAGGAAACTCACAAGCCTGTCTTCACAGAAGCACTATATAGTAGTGTTGGGAGATTTCAATTACTTGGACATCTGTTAGAGCCCCCTCACTCTCTGCCAAAAGTAGAGTAGTTAATAACTTCTTGTCTTGCCTTAATGATAATTTCATCCATCAAAAGATAGAAGAACCAACAAGGGAAAAATTCTGGTTCTTAGTAACACGAAGGAACATGTGTGATTGGAAGTGATGGGAACCCTAGTGGGGGAAGTGGCTACTTCCTCCTAGAGCTTGTCATAAGAAGTGAAAGAGAATTTAAGTGTAGTCTGACATGCACTGTAGTTTTGAAGAAAACAGATTTCAGAAGGTTCAGGGGGAAAAACAGACAGGATTCCACAGAGTAAAATGCTTAAGGGGAAGTCAACTCAGGAGTAATGGGAGATGCTCAAGAATGAAATTTTGAAGACACAAAGGGAAATAATTCCAATGAGGGAGGGAAATTTGGATTTGTCTAAAGAGATCTATGTGGACAGGCAGGAAACATGACAACAAACACAGAATTTTGTTTTTGAAAAGGAATGTACAGAGGTAAAAGCAAGACCAGGTAATAAGATAAATTTAAGAGCATGACCTGGTCCTGTAAAAATAACGGTAGAAATGCTGAAGCTCAGAATAAGCTGAGCCTGATAAGGGAAGCTAAAATAGCTAAAAGAGTTGGGTTTTTGTTTTGTTTTGTTTTGTTTTTAAGTTGTACTAGGAGGGGAAGTATGGTATGTAGGTAGATAAAGACCTGGCTCCAAAGCCAGGAAGACTTGAATTCAAGTACCTTCTATGATACACCCTGGCAACCTGGTCCTGGGCAAGCCACTTAACCTCTTGTACTCTGGGTAGTTCTCTAAGACTCTTTAAGACTGGGCAGAGAAGAGGCTGACTGGCATTGGTAGAGGGAATTTCTGTATCCAAAAGTTCCCTAGACCCATGAAATTAAAGGTCCAGACCCGTATCCCTATCAGTTTTGGTAGAAAAAGGGAAGATCAAAAAAGAGGCAGGATCTTTGCTTTTGATTGATAGGATGATGGGAACTGACAACAGAAGAAAGATAGAGCTGCTCAGTTCTTACTTGCTTCAGTCAAGAAGAATGACCTTTGAACCGGAAATGAAAGAACAAAAATAACTAACAGAGAGTTAGTTGATGCCCAAGATAAGTAAAGATATAGTAAGAGAGCACCTAAAAGTCACCTGGGCCTTATGTGATTGCAGAGCCAGTCAGTGATTATGGAAAATGGGAGAGGCACCACGAAATTGGAGAAGAACAAATGTCCTAATTCTCCTCCCCCTACCCCATCCCCACCCTGGAAAAAAAAGTACAGAGTCTTTGAGATATAGGCCAGTGAGTCTGCCTTCAATTCCTGGGAAAATCCTAGAACAGATCATTAAAGAGATAGTTGGTAAAGACAGAGAAAGGGAAGTGATTACCAACAGCCAGGATGGCTTCATCAGAATCCGATGGTGCCAGACTAACCTCATTTCCTTTTGTGATGGGGTTATTAAGGTAGATGAGTGAAATGCTGTGAATATCATTTACCTAGATTTTAGCAAAGCTTTTGATAAAGTATATCATATTATTCTTGTGGGGCAATGGAGAGTTTTGAATTAGACAAGAATACAATTAGAATTCAGAGCTCTTTGAATGTCCAGGCTAGAAGAGTTGGTAATGTTTCAAGGTCGCTATGGCTCTCTAACATTATACCCTAAGGATTATACTTAAAGCTGTCTAAAAGTGTCGTGGGCTGCCTCAAGAGGTGACCTCTCCTTGTAGGTTTTCAAGCAGAGGCTATTGGATGACTGCTGTTTTTGGGTATGTGACAGTAGGGGGATTTGTGTGACAATTTGTGTGGGGATTGGTCACTGAGATGCCTTCCAGGTATCAGATCCTATTTTTTGCCCAGTCAGATAAAAACAGCTCACTAGTTCCATTTTTTAGGTTCCTAATCACACCTTTTCTTCTGTTCTTTCATTTCTTAGCCTAATGGACCGGGAAGTGGCATTACTAGCCGAAATGGACAAAGTAAAAGCTGAAGCAAGTAAGTAATTTTTAATTAAACTTTTGAAAACTGTTACTAACAAGGAGAAGTTACATACTTAGTATACAGAAGTTTAATAAAATTTTACATTGAGGTTTCATATGCCTTGGTGGATCTATAATCTCATTGATAAGGATACTCCTTCCAAGAGTGTAAGTCCCAATCCATTTATATCTTCTCAACCTAGACAGTTCATATCCAAGTTGTCCCATAAATCCTTAACGGGAGCCAGGCTCCACCGAGAACCTCCAGACCTTGCCTTCTACCCTGCTGCTGAACCTAGACCTTTCCATCTGCCTTGCAGTTGATCTTTCTTTCATGTTGTCCCCCTCAATTTAAGAATAAGCTCCCTTGAGAGCAAGGACCAATCTTACTTTTTCTGTTTGCATCTCCAACATAGTGCTTGGCACACAGCAAGTAATAATAAATGCTTTTCTTTTTCATTCATTCCCTCAGCTTATTGATGACCTTCTTGGAGATGTCTTACCATTACCTTAGCACCATTTCAACACACAGGCTGTCCATCTGCTATATCTCCCTCATAGTATAAATTTGATCTCAGGTGCTGAGTGACATTCCTTTAAATTTGGCTCTGAGCAAAATTTAAGAGGGAATTCTGGTTTATGTTTGTTTACATAGTATTACTTTTGAAGACCAAGAGTTAAACTTCTGCCATCAAAAGCCCTTCAGAAGGGTTGGGAACATCGGACCCTTTGGTACCAGTGTTTCAATCTAGATGAGTGCTAACCCTTTATCTAATATTGTTTTGCAAAGAACCAAATTTCCAGGGTTCAGTCTTCTAGCAACCTACCTTTATTTTTTTCTCTTTAGTGGAAATATTGCTCAGCCGACAAAAAAAAGCTGAGATGCTCAAGAAGATGACTGATGTGGCTGTTCGAATGTCAGAGGAACAATTGGTAGAGCTTAGAGCTGACATCAAGGTAAAGACTTCTTTCTGCCCATCTCATAAATTTCTTTGATTTATTATTAGTAATAATAATAGCTGGCACTTTTATGGTGCTCTAAGGTTTACAAAAATCCCTTTACATATGTTATCTAATTTGATCCTCGCAACAGCCCTGTGAGGTACGTACTGTTATATTATCCCTGTTTTGTAAATGAGGAAAGTGAGGCTGAGAAGTGAAAGGGACTTGCCCAGGGTTACACACATAGTAAATATAAGGCAGGATCTGAATGCATGTCTTCCTGTCTTATGTGTTCCAGCATTTTATCCACTCTGCCATCTAGCTGATGTCTCAAATAGTTTATGCAAAAATATGTAATGTATTTTGTAGGGTTTTTAGTTTCAACTTCATGGGGAAAACTAATACTGATTATCATTGGGAAAAAAAAAAGTCTGATTGTGTATCTTGTTAACTAATCTGTTTATAAAGATCATAGGTTCCATGTTCAGGCTTCTTTCTCTTTTAGTTCCTTAAGTAGAGAACAGTCCTTCTTGGTCTAGGTATCAAGAGTTCTAAGAAAGCTTGGTGAAGGTTCCTGGCCCATTGTAGAGGCAAGCTTTCTATAGCAATATATAACAACAACCAGTCATAGAACATAGAAATAGTATGATATGACCTTTCCCCTGTGCTCTCTCCCAACCCTTTAGGTTTATTGAAATATTCAAAAGGAAGATTATCGCTGTTGTGCCTTTGAAACAGACTCTGTAAATTAAAATACAAAGTGGTATTCTGGGTATGAAAGCCCCTCTTGTTTCTCAGGAAATTAGTGCTATAGTGTGCCTACTTATCCAGTCCTACTTCTGACTGAAATTAATTTAATTTTGCACCTTTTCCTGTGCAACTAAAACCACAGGCAAATTTCTCAAAAATTCTCCCACTCATTTATACATGTCAGTCCCATTCAGTTCTCTGGGAGAAGATGGAAACCCCCTTGGAATTGAATAGATAAGAAAATCTGGCTCTGGCGCAGCTTCATCTGTTTTTCTTCCTACATGGCTTAAAAGCTTCTGGAAATATTTCTGCAGACTCACTAAGGATCTGTTTCTCTCCAAGTTTTTGGTGTACTGAAGTAGGTGCTGTGCAGTTAAGTATTTTAGAACTCAAAAATGCCTCAAATGGAGCTCACTTTACTTCCCCTTACCTCATTAAATCTTTTGCGCACCTGAGTACCAGGATTTATTTTACAGTTATGAGAATGGCAAGAAATCAACCTAGTTTCCAGCTACCTCTTGGGAATGAATGTTACCTCTTAATTAGGACTGATGTGCACCATTATGTAATATGTAAGAAATTAAGAAATATGTAAAATTCCTCTTCCTATACTCCCAGTCCAGCTAAATTGGCTGTTCTGTTTTTCACATGTGGTATCCCCATCTCTGTGCCTTTTCAGTGGCCATCCCCCATTCTTAGAATGTACTCACTCTTCATTTCTACCTTATAGAATCCCTCACTTCCTTCAAGGTGTAGTTTAAGGCTGCTTTTTACACCTTTGCTGTTCCCTTCCCCCTCCCCAACAACTGCTAGTTCCCTCTCTCTCTAATTATCTTGTATTTGGTGTTTATTATATACATATTTATTCCTTTTTTTAATTGTGTGTTTTTTAATCATCAAAAAACTATATTCTATCCCTACAACTTTCCTTTTCCCATTTGAGAACAAAAGAAAAGCAAAACCCCTGTTACAAACATATATAATTAAGCAAAACAAATTTTTGCATTGACCATATCCAAAAAAAACCCATCTCGTTCTATACACGTATAAAAGTCCTTCACCTCTCTTATCAAGAGATAGGTAGCATGTTTTATCATTAGTCCTCTGGAATCATAGTTGGTCAGTACACAGATTAGACTCTAATTCTTTCAGAGTTGTTTGTTTTTACCATATTATGGTCACTGTATAAATTGTTCTCTTGTTTTTGTGCACTTCACCCTGCAGCAGTTCATATAAGTCTTTCCGGGTTTCTCTGAAACCCTTCATCATTTCTTACGGCACAGTAGTATTCCATCAGATTCCCATTCTTTGTGATTTCAAAAAGAGCTATAAATATTTTTGTATATCCTTAGGGTTTGTTCTGCCTTCCTGATGCAGTATATCACCTGTTGAGTGAAATGAATTTCTGTATTCAGCTATGTCTGTGTGTTTTGCCATCCTTTGACTAGAAAAGATGAGAATGAGGTTCAAGTGACACTCATTCCCCCGACTTTGTTTTTGTATATGTCTACCGATGCACCCTGATTTTGTGAGATAAATTTCCCTAACCTTCCCCCACCCTTCACCCCCAATGGATTCCTCTTCTCTCTTTCCATTCTTTTCTTAAGATCATCAAGACATAATAGAACCACTGCCAGGCCTGTCTAATTAGACTCCCTCTATGACCCCTGATAATGATTAGGTTCAGAGGGGACACATGTATCATCTCCCCCTATTAGAATGTAAGCAGTTTAAGTCCCTTCTGGTTGTTTATTCGTGTTCACCTTTTTAAGTTTCTCTTAACTCCCTTGTTTGAGCTTTTTATTTTCTATACAGCTCTGGTCTTTTCATCAGCAATGCTTGGAAGTCCTTTATTGTATTAAAAATTCATTTTTCCCTCATGGGATTATACTTAGCTTTACTGGGTAAGTTATTCTTGGCTATAACTATATATATCCTTTGCCTTCTGAAATACTGTAACCTAAGTTCTCTGCTCCGGAGTGGTGGCTGCTAAATCCTTAAGTACTTGAATTCTTTATTTCTGGCTGCTTGCAGTATTTTTCGTTTGACTTGAGAGCTCTAGATTTTGGCTATAATGTTCCTAGGAGTTTTCATTTTGAAGTTTTTTCAGGAGATTGATTCTTTCTATTTCCACTCTGCTCTCTGACTCAAGGGATCACATAGTTTTAAGATTTCTTAAAATATGATGTCTAGGTTCTGTTTTTGGTCTTGATGTTCAGATAGTCCAGTGATTCTTAAATTTTTTGTCTCTTTCCAGTTTAGTTGTTTTTGCCTTGTCTTACATTTTCTTCTATTTTTCAAGTCTTATGACTTTGTTTTAACATTTCTTTTTGCTCATGGCGTCATTTACTTCTAGTTGATCCAGTCTGTTTTCAGGGAGTTTGTTGCTTGGGCAATTCCCTTTCCAATTCTTTCTTTCATAGCTCTCGTTTCCCATTTTTTCCTCTAGTACTTTTATTTCATTTATAAAAGCGTTTTAACCTTTTTTAAAAACTCTTTCTTCATCTCTTCCAGGAATTCTACTTGAATTTGAGCAAAATCTGTGTTTTTTCTTTGAGCCTTTACTTAAAGGTGTTTTAGAGTCGGTTTTCTTCTTCTAGATTTGTGTCTTTAGTATCCCTGTCACCATAACAGCTTTTTGAAGAGGGATTCTTTTTTGTTTGTTTGTTTGTTTGTTTGCTTATTCTTCCAGCCTACTTCTTGATTTTGGATTTGATGTTAGTTCTGGGCTCTATGAACTTTTGAAGGGATGGTCTGGGTTGATCCTATTGCTGATTTCTTGGGATATTGATTGAGAGTTGTGTTATTCCAGTTTCAGGAACAGCTCAGGCTTAAGACTATCTGAAAGCTTTCAAAATAGTGTGATCCAGGGCAAAGTCTGATTGTTACCCCCTTGATTTGAGTCTGCAAATTCCTGACCTGAATTTGGGTGTGAACAACAGGACACTGCTGCTGGATTCAGTCACTATCAACCAGCTGGGAAGCTCTTCAGGTTCAGAATGACAGAACTGTAGCTTCCCCTTTGATGTAGATTCCTTCTCCAGTTATTCCTCTGCAGGCTTCAGACTAGTGTGGAAGCTAAAACTAAAACACCCCCCACCCACCCCACCCCACCACCACCCACCCCCATTCCTAGTGTCAGAACTTAACACCAATGCTACTTTCTTCTGAACTTATTTCTCTCTACCACCTAGTATGTAGGATAACTCCTTACCCCCAGAGTGCCAACCCTAGGCACACATGTCCCTTCCTCAGTCCACCCTATATCTGTGATCTGGAACTGGATATTGGCCAACAGAGCTACCAGATGGTACCCATTCCTGTTGTGGTGCCTCTGTATGGGTACTGGGCCTCCTCTTGCCCTCATGCACAGCCTGTCCCTACCAATGCAGGGAGTACTCCATGCAGCTGTTCCCAGTCAGACACCATCTGTAGTGTCCACAGACTTCTCTCTATCTGTTTCCCTGTGCAAAGTGAGTCATTGTGACTTTCTTGGATTCCCCCATCAGAATTCAGTCTGGTGCATTTTCTAGATCTGTTTAGAGGAGTTTGGGGGTAGGAGAGGTAGAACTTGCTGTACTGCTTTCTGCTGCTCCACTATCTTGGCTTTGTCTTTTATATTTATTCTTTATATGCAGATTTATGTAGATAGTGTCCCTCCCAATAGAATGTAAACTCTTTGAGAGCAGGGATTGTTTCATATTTTGACTTTGTATCCCTAGCACGTGTGACAGTACCCAATACTAGGTATTTAATGGAAGATGCTTAATGAATGCTTATTGATTTATTGATTGGTTTAATTAGCCTGTCAGACTGCCAGTTTTAGGGCTCCATCACAAAAGAGCCCAATCACATGTCCTGAAACGTCATAGATTTAAGGCATTTCTCTGCTGAAAGCATCTAATAACAAAGTCTAACATGTAAATGGCCATTTGTCTCACCCACAAGCCCTTTTCTTTATGATACCAATCTGTTTCTAGGCTTTTATCTAGAATGGATGTAACCCTACATCTCATCTGTGCCATTGATGAGATTGTGAATGATTACAGCATTTTTGAAGCTCCATTATTGTATTAAATTGGTTGGGCATGTTGATATGAACTGCTCCTTTGGAAAGGAAAGAGAAGGGTTTTTTCCAGAATAGAACAGTAGTACTTCTTTTGGTCAGTTCCACTTCAGTGACTGTCTTCTGTTTGGGATGTAGGTTTTTTCCACATCTTTTTTGAGCTATTCAGCATTCAAGTTTGGGTCTAAATTTTACAGCAAAGATTCCCAGGAGGCTAGTTTGATTTTGATTTGGGAACTGTCTTGAGGGGTTGTCTTCAGCTCCATCATAATGGCAAGCAACCTAAAACTATATGTTGAAGTAAACCTTCTACTCCCCCTTCACATATCAAGGCTTATTTCTCAAGTATCACTGAGTTTCCATAGGGCTATAGCTGGAACAAGGGAAAAATCTTCTGAGAGGATTGAATTACTTGTAGCAAAAGCTATACTCATTTGCAAAATTACTTTTTGAACAAATAATTTACCTTCTCAAAAAATCAAAGATTTATGAACCATGGCTTGTAGAGAGTAAAAGTAAGACTCAATTTGATAAAATATACCAAATTATCCCTTAATAGGACTGCTCCTCATAGCTGTCTGTTTGTCTGCTTCCCAGTTTATTTTGCTGCCTCTGTTTCCCATGACTCCCTTCTAGCTAGTAAAATTCAGTAAAAGTAAACCCAGGCACGTTCTTTCTAAGCAAGATAACAGTTTATTAACAAGGCATGAACCTATTAATAAAGGGGTCTAATGACTGCCTCAGTTTCTAGCCAAAAGACAAAGAATTGAAGGTGCAACTCATTCTTATAAGTATAGAACAAAGAACAGAACAGAGTAGGTTAGAAAATAATACAGTTGGTTATAGGGTTGACAGCATCATGGAGGTGAGGGCAGCATGATTGGTTACATTAAGGAAAGTGGGCATACACACATGGGCTTAGGACCACACCCCTCCCTGTCTTAGAGAAATGATTTGTGGATTTATGGAACCCAGCTGCTTCCTGAAGCCATTGACCAGGGATGTGGACTCACTGGCTCCTGGTGGGCCAAGACCACCTTTAACTGGGCAAAGATAAGCAGAGATGGGACCAGGTCAGCTTGTGTGCTTTCAAGGATAACACACAGATGTGATGGAATTTCTCAGGAGCTGAAGTTATGAGGGATAACAAACTTCCTTGGCACACAGTGATTTGCAGATGGCGCTATGATAACAGTTACCTTAAAATTAAGAGTGTTTTATGAGAGTATTGAACTTCTAAACTTTAGCTCAGTTTTTCTTTAACTAGCAGTGATCAATAGGGAGAATAAACTGTGACATCTAAGTTGTGAGAGAAAGACAGCTTTTGAACTCATGAGTTTCTTCACTCAGAGGCAAAGAAGCAGCTTAGGTTTGTTATATGAGGTTTCAGAACAAAATCATTTACAGGGTGGAATCATATATAAAATACAGGCTCAAACTTACAAAATAAAATCACTTACGCAGTAAAATCAAATGGAAAATACATAATCAATGGATGATTTTAACACCTTCCATAAAGTAGAAAAATGAGAAGTAACCAATGGTGGAAAGCCAATCTCTTATGTTCTTTTCTCCTTTCTCTTTTCCTTATGATCATATTGAGAACTTTGACCATCATATAAAATATATAGTTCCACACAGCCCCCAACCTACCACCCTCTGTCCTTTGTTTAAGAATTTTGCAAAAATGAGTTAAATTGCAAGAATCTAAGACATCTCCAAAAGTCTCACAATGGAAAATGCTGTCCACATCCAAAGAAATAACTATGGAGTTTGAATGCAGATCAAAGCATACTAGCTGCTCTTTTTTTTCTTCTGTTATGTTTTGTTTCCTCTTTCTTGTGGCTCCTTCTATTGGTTCTGATTCTTTCTTACAACATGACTAATGTGAAAATATATTTAATAGGAATCTATACGTATAGCCTATATCAGATTGCATGCCATCTTGGGGAGGAAAGTGGGGAGGGAGGGGGAGAAAAATTTAAAGCTCAAAAGCTTATGGAAGTTATTGTTGATTAATCAAAATTAATTAATTTTTAAAAATGAGTTCAATTTCAGACCTCTGTTAGTGATGAAAGATACATTTTTGGACATGGCCGTTAATGGGATTTTGTTTTACTTAACTATGCATATTTGTTATGAAGGTATTGTTTTTTTCTTTTTTCTTTTCTTTTTTTCCTGAAATGGAAAGGAAGAGATGAGAAGGAGGGGGGCATTAAGAGATAAAAGTCTTCCCCCACCCTCTTAATGAAAATACAATGGGAAAAAAGCTAGAAGGAATCACAAACAAACTAGGACTCTTTGAATCTATATGTTGAATCCATTATGTATTTTAAAAGAAAAGCAAGCTCTACGTAGTAGAAATTAGCATTTTCATATACAGCCCTTTCCTGTTCTGTGGTGTATATGGGAATGCTATTTTTATTTGGTGTTTAAGTTCAGGACTGAAAAAAGAAAAGGAAGAGAAAATTAATAAAATTATTTACTCTTCCTACTAAAGATTGTGAACTTTGAGGCAAAACAGAGAAAGGATATATAGTAAACAAAATTTCATTATGTCTTTGTATGGCAATGAATAGGTTCCATTTTAAATGTTTATCTCCCCTGAATATTTTCCTTTTCCTTCTTTTCAGCACTTTGTTAGTGAACGTAAATATGATGAGGATCTCGGACGGGTAGCCCAGTTCACATGTGATATTGACACGCTGAAGATGAGCATTGATTCATTTGGACAAGGTGAGATAGTGAGACTATTGGTGCTGAGTAGGGTTGGTGATAAGAAAGAGTCCTTCTAGTGGAAGGAGGGACAAAGCATGAAGTGCTGGTTGAGTCTAAAGTCCTAGTTTCTTTCCTGAAATTCAATAATATAAGGCACTTAAATCCTCTTTCCCTAAGTTTCTTCATCTATAAAAATGAGGTTGGGATGGTTGTGGAATTTAGCACGATACAATGGCAGAAAATTGAATTTAGACTCAGAGAAGCTGGGTTTGAACCCTGTCTCTGCCACTTACTACCTGTGTGACCTTGAACCTATCATCTCACCTCTCTGGGCTTCAGTTTTCTCATCTGTAAAATAAGAAGCTTGTGCTCAACAACTACTAAGGTCCCTTCCAGTTCTCAAACTGTGAGCTTTAGAAAATGCTTTTAGGACCTGCTGTAAACATTTTTAGCTCTGTAGATATGACTCCTCAGGTATTTTTAATTTACTATGATAAGTCATTTGCTTCTGTACAAAGAATTCTATTTGGCTGGAGATCCTTTTAGACTTTTTGCCTTAACAATAATAATAATAAAAGCTAGTATTTCTATTAGTGCCCTCTATGTGCCAGGCAAAACATTTTGCAAATATTATCTCATTTGATCCTCACAAAATCCCTAGGAGGTAGGTGCTATTATTAGGCCCATTTTGAAGTTGAGGAAACAGACAGACAGAGGTTAAGCCACACAGCTTTTGGGTGTTTGAGTTCAGATATGAACTTGGCTCTTTTTGACTCCCAAGCCCAATGCGCTACATACTATGCCGCCTAATTAATCCTACAGGTGAAAGATTGGGCCTGGGGCACCCATGAAGTAAGAGCCAGGGATCTAGGTCTGAGGAGTATGAATCAGGCGGATTGCTTGAGTTCAGAGTTCTGAACTGCGGTAAAGCTACGCAATGTCTGACACCCTTGGAAGCAAGGCCTGCCAAGCCATATAAAAGGTCTCATACTGATCAGTAATGGGGATGAGCCTGTGAATTGCCACTGCACTTCCATCCTAAGCAAGCTAGGTAGACCCAGTCTCACAGATCTTATTATTAGTCCCATATTGAAAACAGAAGTCTGGGAGAAATTTTCAAACCATTGAATAAAACATTTATTTGGAATCTTCCTGGCATGAGTTTATTTCTGTTTTACTTGGAACTAGGAGTCATTTTTGTAAAGAAGAAAAGACTTTGGTAAGATATATGAATTGTGAAGATTATTCCAACTCAGCTTTAACTCCTCTGTCTTATTCCTCTTTTACAAAAATGTGTATTTTGTAATGTTCCTTGTGTAGGAATTTTTAAAATTATTTATTTTTAGCATTTTTAAAAAAAATTTTAAGTTCCAGATTCCTTCCTTCCCTTCAGTCCCCCACCTATTGAGAAGACAAATAATATGATATTGGTTTATACATGTGAAGTCATGTAAAACATTTCCATGTAAGCCATGTTCTTGCATAGGAACTTGAAAAAATTGCCTATCTTCCTATTTCCAGATTCAATCAGGTACTAGAACTTAAGTCCACAGGAGGTGAAAAGGTATCTGCCAAGAGTCACCAGTCAGATTACGAGAGATGGGGGTGCGGGGGGAAGAGTACTGCTATTCTCAGGTCTGTTCTTTGGTCCTAGAATGCCTCCTCAGTATTATAATTATTATTTAGTCTCCACAGAATGGTGGAGTATGTTCATCCCTGAGGCTTTCTTACCCATGCTCTTGGAATCTATATGTAAGGAAGACAATTCAGTTTTTAGAACAATTAAATATCTATTGTTTGGGGAGGAGACGAAGAAGAAATTCTTTCCTGGGGTCAGGGCCATAATTTTTCCTTTAATACCTCAAACTGTTTTTCCTGTAAAATGTCATTAGGCAGGGTTGGTTTTTTTATCCTCTTAAACTTCTCATTGAGAAGTGAAGAAAGGGGGAAGCTTCATTATTCCATGCCCTTGAACATGAGCTATTAATGTTTGCCTTTTAGTGTCCCATCCAAAGAACAGCTACTCAACCAGATCCCGGTGTAGCTCAGTTACATCTGTGTCGTTGAGCAGCCCCGATGATACAACTGTTCCGTCCAGTTCCACCTGTGCCTCTGCTCCTAGCCTTACAAACGCCAACAAGAAAAACCCACCGACAGGAGAGATGCCTCCTGCTGTAGCAAATCCCAGCAGCCGGTCCTACCAGCCTCATAGAGAGGTAACTTGACGTTCCCCAGTGAGTTTGGATGAAAAGCCATTGTATTAAAAAGCTGACAGACTGATAGCTCAAAACCACCCAGTTTTCAACATGTGTTTAGCTTGATTTCCTTCCCTCTTCATACTGTTCTGAACCCCTCAAGTCCCACATAGTTACAGAGGGAGCATTTGGTACGTTCTCAGCCATCAGCTGCATTTTTCGTTTTGGCAGTCATCCTAGCTGCTGTGGGCTGAACTGCCCATTAATTACTCACAGCAGGAATTATGCACTGATCTCAAAGTAGGCAAGCCCACTAGAGGGCAATAGAAGACACTTCATTTTAATCTTTCTTCTGAAAGCAGCTCCCTACCAATATAGCACAGGACCAGTAGAAGAAAAGGGAAATGACCAGGATTGAGGTAGAGTAGATGGGGGGTGGAAAGCAACGGCCTGAAAGTTGAAATCAGTCTCAGTCCTTGAGGGAAGAATTTTATCATTTAGTTTGGAGGAAAAACATTTTAGAAATCAAAATCAGTGTTGTTTTGTTTTTCTAAGAACTTATAGCATGTGTAGCAGTCTTGGTATCTAACCTACTACGCTGTAGCCTCTTTAGGTTCTAGTAAGAAAGATGCACTCATTTTATGTCACTTTGTACACAGTAGCATGATTTCATCTCAAGTCTGTGGTATAATGAAGCACTTTGTAATAGTTTTAATTAACATCAAATAGGTATGTATTCTCTTTCCAAATTTCTTCAAATTGTAAAAAAGGTCAAGACAATGATATGACACCCATCCATGGTAGACAAGAACAAATCCTTGAATGTGTTCCTTTGGTAGTATTCTCTTTCATACATTCCCCAGCCTGTTTCTTGGGTAAAGAGGAGGTTGGGGATGGTAGAGAGATTAATAAACACTCAGTTTTCATGGGTTCTGATGCTTTAGTTTGGGTTGGGGTGATCGATTGCTTTCTGCTAAAAAGAATCTTGAGAGATACCCAAGTTCCAGTCTGGGAATTCCTAAGTAACACTTCTAAGGACAAGACACTGTTGCTGATATTTATTCAAGTCTGTCTTCTTTGTTTTCCAGGTGTTGCAGGGGAATAGGAGAGGAGGGCAAGGATACCGTCCCCAAGGCCAGAGGTCTAATGGCCCCATGAACCAAGGGCGACATGACAACATGGGCCGTTACCGAAATGGCTCATGGTATCAGAATGGGTCCAGATATCAGAATGCTCCACAGTCTCCAGGAAACACAAATGATCGAGAGCAGACCCACTCAGCAGGGACCCATGGAACTGGAACCATCGTGGAGCCAAGCCAGGCCAGCCCCTCATCCAAAAAGGGGCGTTCAGGCCCAAACACCGCTGAAAATAAGGGGCTCCCTCAGCGCAAACCCAGGGCCTGCCAGCCTGAAGCAGTGAACTCCTGAGGGGGATCCCATTAGGCTTCTTCCTTTAATGCAATTCAAATTGATAACTGGACTATAGGAAACATGTAGTTAGGTTTAATAACAAAGAGAAGTTTACATTTATCATTTTTGTGCCACTCTAAATATTTTTGTCTCTTCCCATTCCCTGTTCACTTTTTTCAGAAGGGAGGCTGTTTTCTCCCTTGTCTTATCAAGTAAGATGGATCAGTCTACTTGGTCATTTTCAACCGGGATCAGAGGCAGCTGTTGTTAAGTCTGCCTAAGGCAAGAAATCCCCTTGCCCAACACCCCATGCCTTCTCAATTCTCTTTAGAGGCCTGAATCACTGATTCCACTTTGGGGGCTGGATTCATGAGGGGTCTAGTCAGACCTTGCCCTATTGTCTTTCTAGTCCAGGCAGATGCCACAAATACCTCCCAGGGTGGGAACACTTTATTGGTTGGAAGAAGAATTTCAGGCACATTTGGGATTCCGCTTCTGTTTCCAGTGTGTGCTGGAGAATCAAATTGGGTTTTCTATCTTGCTTGGCACTATAACCTAGCCTGCAATCTCTTTTCCAAAAAAGTGAAAGCCTTTCTTCCTGTGATCTTAAACAAAAAGCCAGGAGGCTGGTGGGAAGTCATACAAGTAAAGAGAAAAGAAAAAAAAGTTTCCATGTTTTAATGGGGGTGGGAATCTTTTTTTCTCCACCTCCTAAATTTCATTCTGATCCTGAACTAAATTTATAGCAGCATAATTAGCAGTGCTAATACAAGGTGTTACCCGTCAAAAAATTACTACTGTCACTCTTTATAGTTGTATAAATAAAAACAATCGCATAAATGTTCTCACATTTGGTGCTTCACAGCAGCAATCGACTTCATTTCATTGTTTCTTGATATGATTTGTTCTAGGCTAAAATGAGGGTGTCTTGTTCCCAAGGGCCAGAGAGATCTTAGAGGCAGTCTAGTCCATCCCAAAGAGGTTAAATAACTTGCCCCAGGTAACACTGGAAGGAGCCGTTGGAGGGTTTCGGCCCTGGTCCTCCAAATTCAAAGGCAGTACTCTTTCCCTAGTGCCACATTGCCTTGTTATCCAGTGCTTAGATTGAAAACCAAATTAAAATATGGAAAGGTACAATAAGCAGATCAACTTGTTCTGTGTGGGAAAAGGAGGAAAGAAAAGTTAAGGGTGACCTTTCAAAGGACCAGCTTAGAAAAGTCACCTTTACTGCCATTCGCCCCTAGTCAACAAACATTAAGCCCGCTCTGTGCAGGCACTGAGCTAAATTCTGGGGATACAAAAAAAAAAAAAAGAAGCAAAAAACAAACCAGCAAAAATAGTCCCTCCTTTCAAGGAGCTCACATCCTAATTGTACAAATAAGCAAAGATTGGCACAAGGGATTGTGCCAGACTAAGATTAAGGAATCAATTGAAGACCACTCATCCTTTCTCATATTCAGTTAGAGGAAGAGTGAGCATTAGTAGTGTAATGTAGCCCTCCCTATACCTGACCAGAAGCTGCAGAATCCCCTCCCAGAGCCTGCAGTTTAAAAAGGGTGGTGCTTTTTTGTTTCCCTCTAGTCTGAAACACAAACTACAAGTAGCCACCACACAGACCTTAGCAACCACTACACTCTGTGGCTACAGCTGAGCTAGTGGGGTTACAGTTGTTTGAGGGACTTGTGTGCATGTGTTTATATACACACACGTGTATATATGTGTGGGGATTGTGTACACACATGCACTCTCACATAAAAAACTTAAGTCTTTATCTCAGGGACTGACCTTAGATCCTAAGAGTACTGTCCCCTCCTACTTGAATTGTAGATAATCTGATGTCCAATTAGCATAGCAGCCTGCTAGGTAAAAGAGTCTTTCCTGCTTTTCTGAGTACTTGCTTATGCTGGCTTGAAAAACAGTCATAGAATCTGAACAAACCTTGAGGGATTATGTATTTTGTTGGTCACTTCATGAGAGTTACAACTAACATGTGGACAAATGAATAGCCGTGGTTTTTTTCAAGTTATCCTTTAAATCAAAATGCCTTTGTTCTGTCTCAGAATTAAATCTGCTTTGAGGAAAAGTTTAAACTAATTCCAAAAACCAATTTAAAATTAAAACCTGGCTCGTGTAATGTCACATATCCCATGATTTTTCCCTCAGTGAAGATTTTGGCTTTTGGAGAAAAGTATGAAATTCTTGGTACCACCCAGAATCCTTCCTTCTACTAGGAAAGGAAGAAGGGAATGAACGTTTATGTAATACCTTATTATGTGCCAGGCACTGGCACAAATTGTATTATAAATATTTGATCTTCACAATAATCCTGGGAAATAAGTACTATTATCCCCATTTTTCAATTTAAGAAACAGGCAAACAGTTAAGTAACTTGCCCAGGGTCACAGCTAGTAATGTCAGAGGTTGAATTTGAGCTTAGATCTTCCTGACTCCAGACCCAGCACTCTAGCTGCTGCACCACCAGCTACTACTAGGGAGCTTTGCTTTGATGTCACTAAAACCTTCCATTCAGTGATTTTGTTGAACACTACCTAGACCCTATTTAGGCTCCAGAAATAGAATAGAACCTATATTCAATAAGTATTTCTGTATTCCTGTCTGACATGTGTAGTGTACTGTGCTGGGTCATAGGAATGAAAAAAAAAAAAAACCAAGGGAGGGAAAAGTGCTTTGTATGTACAGAGGACCAGGTGAGAAAAAGAGTGCCATGAAAGGGAATGATGTGAAATCAGCCCCCAGCCTAAGAAGAGCTTTTATGTTTTAAGTTGAGGAGTTTATATTTTGTTGAAGAAGCAGCCATGATCCTCTGAAGATTGGAAAGGGGGGAGGGGGTTGGAGGTGAGAGGAAGGGCATGGTCAGACCTACACTTGTAATTATATCTTCACAGTTCTGTGAAAGATTGGAGAGGGGAGACACTGGAAGAGGAATGCCAACCGATTGCAAAGAATTACCAAATAAGAAGTGATGAGGGTCTCTGCTGACTGGGTGAATGATCTGAAGGGAATGGAGATGAAAGATGTGGAGATAAAATGGACAGCTGGTCATTGGGTTGACTATGGGGATGAGGAAGGGAGGAGAGTTGAGAATGAATTAAGTTGCAAACCTTAGTTAACTGGAAGGGTGGTGTCCTTGAAAATATAGAGAAATTTTGAGGACAGCAAAGGAAGAGGTAGATGTCTAAAGGGGGATGATGAGTTCTATTTTGGACGTATCATGTTTGAGAAGCTAAGGGAGCATGCATGTGAAAATGTATGGTGTGCAGTTGAGCAGAACTGGAGCTTAGGAGAGAAGTTAGAGCTAGACATATAGATCTGGGAGTCATCTGCAGAGATGATAATTGAGGCCATTGGAGCTGATGAGAGAGAAAGTACAGAGAAGAAAAAAGGGCCCAGGACAGAGTCTGTACCTCATGTTAGGGTATGAAGTAGGCAAGTAGGAACAGAATCAGGGAATAGCGTTTAGAAAAAACCCAGAGCAGAGAGAGTATCCCCTAGAAGGAGCTTCACGGCTATCCTACCTCTGGTCCAGTGGAAGGGGCTGAGTGAAAGTTGTGTATGTATTTGAAGAGAGAATGTACCAAAGACTATGCCAGAATCTCAGAATCTAAGTGCAGGGGATCTTAACTTTTTGTATGTGTTGTGGCAGTCTGGTAATGCCTATGGATGCAGAATACTGTTGGGGTTTTTTTTTTAATTCATAATTGAAGAAAATGCTAAATTTCAGAGGCTAGTGGAAATAAAGATTTTTTTTTGTTCCATTCAAGTTCAGACACCCTTGAAATCTACCCACATACCTCTTGAGGGTCTATGGACCCCCTGGGTAAGAAATTTCTGTACCTGATGCAATTTGGATGTCAATGCGTGTCCCTTCTACGATATCCCTCAAAAGTCGTCATCACAACACTAAAGGATCTTCAGTGAGAAAGAACCAACTACCTCAATGCAGGGTGTTTTTCCTTTCAGCAAGCCTCAATCTGAACCTCTGCTACTTCTTTTATTCCTAGTTCTTGGAGGCAGTAAAACAAATTTAGTTCTTTGATATGGCAGCTCTGTAAACATGAAGACAACTATTTTGTTTCCCTACTAAGAGAAGTCTTCTATTCAAGTTGAACACCTTAAAAATCCTTCAGCCTCTTAGCTGCACTCCTCTGAACCATCTCCTGCTTATCTCTGTCATTCCTAAAATTTGATTTCCAAACTTGAACGTAATTGTCCAACTGTGGTTTGACCACAGAAGAGTACAGTGGGGCTATTAATAATAAAGTTTTCAAAGCACTTTACATATATTATCTCACTTGATTTTCACAACAACCTTATAAAGTACGTGCTATTATCGCCATTTTATAGATGAGGAAACAGGCCTAGATAGGTTAAGTGGTTTGCCCAGAGTCACACTACTAGTGAGCTGAGGCAGGATCCAAACTTGGGTCTTCTCCACTTCCAATACTCCATTGTGCTACTTCTATTACCTCCCTCAGTCTGGGTGTATACCTCCCATTGCATTTGCTTTTTTGACTGCCATAACACACTATTGTAAAATAGTTTGCTAAAACTCCCACTTTTTTTTTTCCGCATGAACTTTCTAGTGATGCTTCCCTTATTTTATACTTTTGCTCTTTTTTCTTTTTTTTTTTTTTTTTTGGCGGAGTTGATTTTATTGTGCACCCATAGGCTGAAGAAGAAACATAATTTCTGGGACATTTTTGTCATGTTGTATTATAGTGTTCATGATAATTATTTACAAAAAGATCATCTTGAAAATAATTGCAACTTACATGATCACATCTGTTGCAGTTGATGAAGGCATATTCTTTTTTTATATATTAAACATTAATTTATTTATTTTTAGTTTTCAACATTCACTTTCACAAGATTTTGAGTTCCAGATTCTCTCCCCATCTCATCCCCTCCTCCCACCCCAAGACTGCATACATTCTGAATACCCCTTCCCCTAATCTGCCTTCCCTTCTATCACCACCCTGCCTTCTCTTATCCCTTTCGCCTTCTGTTTTCCTGTAGGGCAGGATAGATTTCTATACCCCACTGCCTGCGTATCTTATTTCCCAGTTGCATGTGAAAACAATTTTTAACATTTGTTTTTAGGGGCAGCTAGGTGGCATAGTGGATAGAGCACCAGCCCTGAAATCAGGAGGACTTGAGTTCAAATCCAGCTTCAGACCAAACACTTGACACTTACTACCTGTGTGACCCTGGGCAAGTCATTTAACCCCAATTGCCTAAAAAACAAAACAAAAAAAACATTTGTTTTTAAAACTTTGGGTTCCAGATTTTCTCCCTTCCTCCCTCCCCACCCACCCTCATTGAGAAGGCAAGCAACTCGATACAGGTTATACATGTGTAGTGAGGCAAAACACTTCCATAGTAGTCATGTTGTGAAAAACTAGCTGTATTTCCCTTCATCCTATCCTGCCCCTCCCCTTTACGCTAGTCTCTCTTTTGACCCTGTCCCACCTCAGAAGTGTTTACTTCTGATTACCACCTCCCCCAATCTGCCCTCCCTTTTATCCTCCCCTTGCTCTCTTATCTCCTTCCCCCTTATTTTCCTGTAGGGTAAGATAGATTTCCAGACCCAATTGAATGTGTATGTTATTCCCTCCTTAAGCCAAATCCTATGAGAATAAGACTCATTCCCTCTCACCTTCCCCCACTTCCCCTCCCCTGTAAAAGCTTTCTTCTTGTCTGTTTTATGTGAGATAATTTATCCCATTCTACCTCTCCCTTTCTCCTTCTCCCAGTATAATCCTCTCTCACCCCTTGATTTTATTTTTTAGATGTTGCCCCTTCATCTTCAATTTACCCTGTGCCCTCTCTCTCTCTCTCTCTCTCTC